AGGGATAGACGAGGACAGACCAAGACTCTGCACTCTTATCGTACGACAGTCGTGTGCGCGTGTGTGCGTGTGTTCGTGGAACACAACTCGTACGAGTTCCACACGTGAATCGAGGCGCGCGTACACACATGATGACAAACATGAACGTACACGGAAGGAGCAACACCTCACAAACGAGGCCTAGGCAAGAGAGCTATTTGTAATGTAATAGTGAGAGCACCAGTGGGGAAAGGGAGAGTGGAGGAAGGTGGTGGTAGGTGGAGGAGGGGGGCGATGGTGGGAGGAAAGAGTAAGCGTAGGAAAGAGATAGGTAGAGGGAGAGCGGGTAAAAGAGGAAGAGAGAAGAGAATAGGTACCACTCGACGAGAAACCAATACTACGGTCCCTTTACAAACGAACTCACGAGTCTCGCGAGGCCTCCTCTCTAGCGTGAGTATTCCGCCGGGAGTTCTCGAGAGAGAGAGAACCGTGCTTTTCGGACCCTCAACCCTTTCTGGTCTCGCCTGTAAGCCACGAGACCCACCTGGCCTCTTCTCTACTACCACACCACCGCAGAGTCACTACTACCACCGTTACCATTATCGTCACTGTCGCCGTCCTGCCACGTTCCACGATCGGTGGATGGTATACACGCGTTTCGAGTAGTATTCGAGCGCTACCACTACCAACGTATCGCATCAACCACCACCATCGTCGTCGTCACAACCCCACCAACACCACCACCACGGTCTCTCTCGCCGCTGCCCAGTTCACCTCTCTCCACGTTTACCTAGGACCAGACAGAGAAAGAGAGGGAGAGAGAGAAAGAGCGAAAGAGCGCTCGCCTGACGGAGATAGAGGTAGAGATAGAGATAGACGGAAAGAGGTAGGGAGAAAGAGGAAAAGAGAAATAGGGGGCGAGAGGGAGAAAGAGAGAGAGAGAGAGAGAGCAAGGGCAAGAGCGAGAGAGAGAGAGAGAGAGAAAGAGTGAGGGAGAGAGAGAGAGCGAGACCATCACAAAAAGAGAGAGGGAGGAAAAGAGAGAGAGGTAAAGAGTAAGAGAAGGTCTCGGGTTTGCGCAAAAGTTACGACGGAGCGAGGAGCAGTGAGACACACCGCGGAGACCGGAAGAGAAAAACCGGCGAAGTGAGAAAGAGAGAGAGAGATCACGCGCGAAAAACATATATGGTGTCGTCGATCGAGTGTGTCATCTCTATGTAAATGTGCGTGTGGTGCCAGCGTGTGTGCGTGTAGTACGACGAATTTTGTGAAAACCGACGACATCGTTTTTTTTAATCGTTGTCGTAGCTGTGCTTGTGAATCGTGGTTTTGTTGGTTTGTTGTCGTCGTTGTTTCTCGCGGGTCTTCGTTGGGAGACCACGTGGCCCTTGGTGGTTTGCCTGCTTCTTCCGGGTTCTCATAGGAGTGTGTGTCGACTCAATCCGGACACCGTTCGCACCGTAAATATCTTCGTTCATTGATTTCATTTCGTTGTGTTATCTCGAAACGAGCGGCACGGCATCGCTGTTATCGGCGTGATCCGAGTGCGTGTTCTTGCCAAACGAAAACACCGGACACGTGCTCATCCGCACGTGCTTTCATCGACGCACGTGCTCTTTAGAGAAGCCCAGGCTGTGTATATTCGGCAAGCCCTTTCGAGATTCCGAAAGAATGTCACAAGTTTGAACGGTTTGTGGCGGTGTTCCATCGATCGGCTGTCGGTTACAACCAGTCTCGAAAACAGAAGAATTTGCGCGCAACCGGGGAGAGAAAGAGAGAGACAGTCGACCGCTCGGAAAATCCTGTAATCGTGGAATCGTGGGAGGAATCGAGAGAAAGGAAGAGAAAGGGAAATTCGTGGAGAAGGAGGAAAGGACGAAAGGAGGAAGAGAAGAAGAAGCTTCGAAGCGAAGAACGAGGCTCGGTGCTCGATTGCCGCTTACGTACCAAGCAAGAGCGGGCTGCGTTGTGTAAGAGCTGAAAGTAAAAGTTGAAACCGCCGAGTTGGGCTCGCGAGAGCGCGTGCGGAGCGCGCTAAAATCCGATCCTGTCTCGTAGGCTGGGCATAGCCGAATATCTGCCTCTCTCTCTCTGTCTTTCTCTCGGTGGCTTTCGGATTTGGTCCCACCTTCGAGCTGTTTCTCTTGAACGTGTCTCGTAAGCGGTGAACCGATTGCGAGCACCATTCCCGCGGAAGGAATACGGTGATTGTCGGGAACTCGAACGTGGTAGAACGCATGAAACGAAACGAAACGAGACGGAGAACGTGGAAAGAAGTGTGCAACTGTGTAACAACTGAATTTCTAGTCTGTGGCTTTGGAAAATCTCTTTCTAATTTCGATCGAACGACAACGCTGCTACACACCGAACAACTCTGGAGCCACATCCGAACGAAAACAGGTGAAAGAGCTCGCATACGGTGAACAGGCGCGCGCTATCGCGATTCTTTCCCAAGAATTGCTGGCAATTATCGAGGAAAGCGATGGAAACGATCGCTTTCGTATGCTTGGCCGTGTTGTGTGCTACGAAACACGAGTGCTCAAGGTCATCATTGGCATCCTATCGGTAACCCGCTCTTCTCCAACGAAGAAGAGAGCAAAATCTGTAATATCTCGAAGCGTGGATTTCGTGGTAAAATTCGAGCCTGTCTCTTGATTCTTCGATCACGGCTCGCACACAAGTTTCGTAAAACGGATTACAAAACCAAAAGAGAAAGGAGGCAGAGAAAGGGAGAGGCAGAGAGGAAGAAGAGAAACAAGTGGAAGAAGGAGAGAGAAACGACGGCGATCCACCGCGGGAAATTGTAAAGCAACGATACCAACGTTCAAGATACAGTGTGTTTGAACACGAATTCTGGATCATCGGAGAGGGTGAAGAACGAACGAGCAACCGAAGAATCTGTCGAGTCGTGAAAGAAGTGCCGTGTCTGAGAATTGCGACTGAATCGAGAGAAAGAGGAAAAGGACGGAGAAGTCTCAGTCGAGGACGCCAGTAACGGAGGACAAGTTTGAAAGACGATCCGGATGTGGCTGAATCCACTTGTTATCTTTCTCAGCCCTAACGACACCGCGTACTTTTCTAATCTTTCAACACTACCTCGTCCTACCGATTCCGAGACGACTAGATGGCTCGTCCCGGTACTGGCTCTCCTGTTTTATCGCTAATACAACATCCCACGGCCGGTGCTTTCGATCCCTTACAATAAGATTTCGGAGAGCTTGTGTACGTTGCACGGAGACACGCGGCAGAGCGGAATTAAAAGTGCGCTTAAAAAGGTTAGCGGGATAAAAAAGGCGCGCGCGCGAAAGGATAAGAGAAAGGAATAGGAGCCACCTCCGGTCCTTGAGAGTACCCAACGGGTAAAAGTGCTGCGCTTGGAGCCAGCCGGTTGACCCTGGACAGCCAACGGAGCAGACCCCCGTTGGAAAAAAGTTCTCCGCATCGTTGTCGTCGTCATCGTCGTCGACATCGTCGTCATCGTCGTCGCCATTCTCGTCCTCCTCATCGTCGTCGTCGTCATCGTCGTAATTTTCGCGCACGGTACACTATTCCTTCTCGTTAACGGCGTACCTCGTTTTAGGCTGTCATGTGACGAATCGCTGTGCACGTACCAAAATTTCCACCTGATAATATTCGCATGTGATAGTCCTGCGAAGCGTATCGAAGAAGAGCGCCAAGACTTCTGCTTGTTCTCCGGCAGCCGATGATTCGCGAAAATCAGTTCGACGATACCACCTTTCACGCATCATGACTATGTGGATGTGTTTTTCAGTGTGAAGTGATTTCAGTGCCAGCCTCGATATTGCCCCGATCGTTTTCGATTATTGTCACATCGTTTCGTCTGCGTTCCTCTACAACGTGCTGCGATCTGTTTCTCGTGCCGGTGGTGATACATGCTTTGGTATATCAATGTATGTCACGTGTCTGTACCGTCGTCCTCGTCGCCGCTATCACGGGATTTCGGGTCGTCGGCTTGTGGAGATGCTTCGTGACTCTTCGAGAGAATCTTAAGGGAAATACCGCCGTACGCTGACACGCTTTCTTTGGATATACCATCGATATTAGATAAAGTGCGGACGATTAAAATCACAAGGTAAGATCGTTGGACACGAAGCACGTGTAAGTGCTTTGCTTTTTTCAATCGAAGGACGCGTATCCGTGATCGCCCCTTTTCGTGTTTCTACGTGAGAACCATTTACTCTATGACGATTTCTTGTCCAAACGAACGGACCAATTTAAATCCCCCGTACACCGTACAATTTCTATAAATCCCCTTTTGCCACTTCAACGTTTCGATAAGTCGACCGACACAGATGAGAATATATTGATAGAAAACTGAGACGATTCGTGGCTTTCGGAAATGGTGAAACTACGGACAACAACGAGAAAATTACTGGTGTAATGAACCAACATTCCATACGATTCGATATATAAGAGACTGTGTGTAAATTAAAATAGCGATGTAATTGGAAGTAAAAACGACCGCGGGCTGTAACGCACTTAGAGACAGGTAGATAAATTGCAACAAACCGTACCGACAATGAGAAACTATGATCGAATGAGTTGTAGAACAAATTGCGCGACTGTTCACTTCGCGATAGTAATTCCTGCCTCTATCGAAAAGCGTGTAGTATCGAATTGTCTCGATCGACACACATACAGTTACTTGAGAAAGTACCCGCCCCCCTCTAAACGTAAAACATATTTTACGTATTTAATCACTGTTCGAATTAACATTAACAGTTCCAATTCACGTTTTCCATTGAAATGCGTGCAAGAGACAAATTTTATGTAGTTTCTTTAAAAACTTCTTAACACACACACCGTCAAATATAAGGGAAATGGAACAGACGAGAAAAACTATAACGTTACAAAGACAATTCATAGTTTCTTTTCTTTGAAAATAGGAAAGGTCATCACCTAGTAACAAATACTGTTGAAATATCGTGTAAGGCAGTATTAGCTTCGTATTCGGCACTGTAAAATTCTAAATGAAGGAGAAGAGTGAAAAATCGTGAGATATCGTTGAATACAGAAACTGTTACCACAATCGATTGCAAGATAAAAGTCATTTTTCAGTGGAATTTGAGTTCGTTAGAATATAGATGGAAACTGTTGAGAATTTCTTCAACTATCTTACATTTAGCGATGAATGTCAATTCGAAATTTCTCATTGTATGCCGAAAATTGGCGCGTAAAAACCCACGATCAATCAACGGATCAGTTTATGTATACGGATATAAAATTGAAGCAACATTTAAAGGGAAGTGCAGAAAATCGAAGAAACTGACCGAAGGATTACTTTTATTTCCGACGAGACAACGTAATGCTTCAATCATACCACGAAACCTACAGAAGATTATGAAACGTGTGCAGATCGTCTAAGAAAAAAGTACTCGAAGAAATCTTATTAAGAGATAAGATGAACTCGAATGTCAAAATAGGTAAAAAGCTGATTACAAGGTCGTGGGAATATCTGACAAAAGGGATTAACTTGTATTGCAAGGTAAATATTGAGTTTAGGCGAATGCTTTCCCGTGGACAATCACGCGGACGTGAATTGAAATTGGTAACGTTAACAATGAAATACGCAAAATATGTTTCACGTGTAAGGCTGACGGATACTCTCACGAGAGACTGCACTTTCATCCCGATGAATATTTACGCGAAAACAAACGGTGAATCGGTGTAGGAGCGAAACAGTTGTCCTTCATGCACGTCTTCGCAATGTTCAGAAAGGTGTGAAATTTATCCATCGGCCAAAAATGACAAAACGAGACTTCCTTCGAGCTTATAATTCAAATTCAGGCGTTCCATGATCGTATATGAACATTGGTTACGCAACTGTTCTTAAGGAAATACGAAAAGAAAAAAGACGGAGGAGGAGGAGGCGGCGGTCGTGAGTTCTATGTGGTCATCAATGGCTCGCGATGACGGATCGTAAAGAAAAAGCGATCTCGAGTCAAGGTCGAGCACATCGAAAGGCGTCTTTACGTTCGCCATTTCGTATTCATGTAGTCATTATCTGCCGGATATATTTATGTTGCGTTCTCGCATAGTCGGAGGACATATAGAGCTTGCATCCATGCAAATATTCCCAACCAAACAGTAATTACGGTCAACTCCGAAAGGTGAACCGGTTGAAATTCCGGGTTAATTTTACCTTTTTTCATTGACACACGTTGCCCATATGTTCGTATTTTCGGCTTTAGACAGAATTCCCCGTTCTAAACGATAAAGAGCGTACCTAACCTAACATAACCTTTCTTCGTCGTGTAAAATCCAATTTCCCAAATTTGTGTATTTCCCTGTATCGCACAACATTTTGCAGGTTAAGTTACTAGAGATAACGGAGGTTGTGCTCGAAAGGAAAATATTTTCATCGGAATTGAGATTGTCCTGTATTCAGGCTTGTACGAACGAACAGCTCTATACGAACGTTTGAAACAGCAGTTAACATTTACGTATGGAGGGACGTTAATTTAAATATCTCTGGTGCACTTTTCAAAGCTATTGTTTTCAATGGGCGAGTAATCGGTAACGTTCTAATACGAATTTATCCACGTAACGTGGTCATTGATTAGCGGATCGTTGATTCATTAGAGACGGCGATCATGTCTTGTAAGCGATTAATTAAAGAGAGGTCGATAATGAGGATCGGGTGTTTTCAATGGGTTACGATATCTATTTAAAAACAATGCTGGTAATGCCGCATGCTGGTTATAATCGATATCGATCAATTCGGATGATCGACATATAACCAACTAAATCATTCGTGAATCATGTCCAACTGGCTTTACGTAAGAGAAGTTTACGTTTTTTTTTTTCTAACTATGATCACCAAAGAGATCGTGCATTTCTTATTTCGCTGCTCGTCGGACATTTCTTCGTGTATTTTCGTCAGTTTCGTTTCAGTCTATACGGCTGATAAATATGTATGTGTGCAATCATGATCGCGATATTGAATATCAATCATAGAAAGGCTGAGTTACGAGTTTTCACGTGACTGCGTAGCTTCTATTAATATTTTCGTCGAGCCTTAATCAAACATACGGTTCTAAAAACGTAAACAACGATAAACGACGCTTCCGAAGCGTTCTGTACTAGAAAAACAGCATATTTTCAAACGTTTTCCGATTAGTCGAATCGATATACCCTCTCCACTTCTCTCTAACCTTCTCTAACATTTCTAACGTTTACCCCGCTAGAACGGGGGACGGCGGTTTGCAACTGGTAGAATTATCGCCTCATAGAAATGTTCGAGCCTGATAACAAAAACTCGATTGTAATTAATATAGGTGCTGGGAGATAATTATAATCACAAACAGGCGCGGGATAGTACACACACCGGGTGTATATTTAACTCGATTGCATATTTTTTTTTTTCCTCTCTTGAGCGTTGCAGAGATACGGCGTGGCAATAATAACATCCGGCAAAACATGGATGCATAAACATATTACCTTCAAACGGTGTTGCGATTTAGTATGGATATTGCTATTAGTCTGAAGTTCAAGCCTATACCGATTCTACGTGGATTTATTATCAGTTAGACCGTTTCTCGAGTAATTTTCGCACTCCGAACTATCGTCCACCTTATTCTCTACCGATTCTAACGATGCCTCGCAAGGAACGAACAGTAGAAGCGCGTTCACTTGAAATCGTCACCTTATGTTTCATTAAATTTCATGCTTAACGCACGTTGGTGTAAATCCACGTGTAAAAATCGAAACGTATACGTAAGAGGGTTCGAATTGAGAAATACATAATGGAAATAGATGGACGAGATAAGAACGATACGTGATGTAATTCATGATGGTATTTGTTTAAAAGAATGCAGGCTTTTCTATACGGCACGACGCCATGTTTCCAACATTTTCACCTTACACAGTCCGCCTGCGGTTGCTCCCTTCTCAGAGGTTCCTTCGTCGACGATTATTAAGACGCGGTCTCGCGGTGCAGAGGCCTCGGATTGGCTGGACGTTTCGATGTGTAGGGCATGTTAAATGAAGTTGCAATTAAGAGAGCTAAAAGCTGCGCGGCTGACTATGCTTCTCAAGGCCTCGGGCCTCGCCAGAGCGTACTTCCGCTTCTGATTAGCTTCCTCTTTTCCCACATCGTCCTCGCCATTCTCTCTCTTTTTCTTTCTCTCTCTTCTTTCCCCTCTCACAGCGTTTTCAC